GGCGCTGCTATCACCAAAAGGCTGCAAATTTACCAATATGAAGACAAGGACAGAGCAGCTAGAGTATACTACTTCTCGAGGGCGTCCACGCGATGCACTTGACTTCACCCTTTTCTCTTTCGTCTGCTTTCTGAAATACCATGATCAGTACAAGTCAAAACACTGGAGACCTCCCGAGAGGAGATACAACCCGTACTACGATGGTCGGCGGTCATCACGGAGCTTCCCAGATGATATTGTGACAATCTTAGGATGGAGTTCTTCCTCTAAGCTGGGGGAGTCATCGATAGCGAATTTATTCCGAGTGGACCTGACTTGCACTCAGTGATAAACCAAGCAGGCACACACTACCTTCGCTCAATGAGCAGCTCTTCATCATCAACAACATCGGCCGCCAAGCCGCCAAGGCCCGATGAACTCGAGGGAACTGGAGACGCCTCGGGCTGCTGCCGAGGACGTTTCCGCTTAGCCTTCTTGGATTTAACCTCCGAGGGGGATGAAGTCCTCTTCTTTTTCTTTTTCTTATTGTGCTCATGTCGAGTCTTCTGCAGACCAGCCAACCTACAAAACCCACTAAGCGCGCCTTAGCTCGAGCAACCTACCGGTCATCGATTCCTGGAGGGTTGCCAACACGTAGCCTTCGACGGTCCTCCTCGGAGCGCTGCAGTTCCTTCTCCCGCTTCTCGGACTCGGCGATCAAATTAATGTAGTACATCATTATACGGTCCTCTGAAAGCCAGTACCAATACTCCTACTAATCCTAATTTCGCGGCGCAGCGGTAGACGAGGACAGGATGCTTACCCGAGGACGTCATACCGAGCTGTTGAAGGTGGAACCTAGAAGCAGTTGTTGGTGTATCAAGACACGCTATATGAAACAACTAGAACAGTGAACTCATACAGGAACTGCAACTGTGGTACTGAGTACAACAGAGAAGGAAAGAACGCATCCAAGACCTCCATGCCGTACTTGAACGTGATGTCGAGAGGATGGTCAGCAATTGTCACAATTCTTTGGCACTATAAAATAGGTCAGAGTAGCATTGGCTGCAGACTGAGTATGCAGGATAGGAATTGCTGTCGCTCAAGCAACAGCAATTCAAACCCTCCCCAAG